CACACACACACACACACACACACACACACACACACACACACACGATACCCTTAGCTGAAATAAAATATATTTGATATATAGTTTATTAAGCAAAAAGGGGAGTCTTAGAACACTTTAGCTTGTATTAGCTAACATTTGCCACATGCCTGTTCTACTGTAGATGGGCCTAAGAATGTAAGCTACTATAATATTTTAACTGGGGTCAGTAGAGGGTGCTCTAAGTATGTGACAAAGTTTGTGTGTGTAAATAGAACTTGATATTACACTTAATGTTTTACAATAGGAATAGGAAAACACCTGATCTGGCTAATGAACTTTTTCACGTGGTGCAGCTTCCTGAGAAAGTGGACAGATTTGTTGATGGAATTATTATTTTATTTACAACCACACTGAAGGGCAGGAAGAATTATTTTAGGGGACACTGAGGCAGTGTCCAGATGAGCGTGGATGTGTAGTGTGTAGTGCTGCAGACCCATTTGTGGCACCACACATCACACATGCTGTACATGCAGCCATTCCCTGCTCTACTACTCTTCAGCATGGGGTGGAGTTGACCCTAAAAATACATAAATAAGTAAAATCCCAGGGTCAGAAACCCATGCCTAAAAAAACGGGGTGGTGCATGTGGCAGTAGCATGTACTACCCAAAACCGGAGCCTGGCCAGCTGGAGCCGCATTCCAGCTGCTGGCCAGGCTCCCTGCTGCAGGATCACCACAACTGCAGGTCCCAGAGGCCTCCAAGTAAGGCTGCTAGGGCCAGCACAATTGCTGACCTCAGACTCCCCTATCTTACCTGGGATAACAAGCCGCACACCAGTGTGCGCATGGTACGGGCGTTCCCTGGTGACAAGTAGCAGTGGCCCAAGGCGTGCTGCTGCTACTTACTTTTCCCCAGGGAAACTCATTCCTGCTCACAGGGATGCACCCTAAGTGTCAGTCTTTAGGAACAAAACTATACAAGTTTTACTGACACTGTGGTAGTGTACCAACAATCTACTGGAATCCTAGAAATACAGCATCTTAGGAGGCATATTTCCTTTTGAAAGAGGTGTCTGCTGCTGTGCAAGTTGATTTCCAGAGGAATTGGGTCATGTTCCCATCGTTCATTATTCCTCCTGCCTCCAACAAGCAGACACCAATAGGTGAAAACAGTGGCTTTCAGAACCTACACCAAGCTGTGTCGCTTGGCCCTGTGCCTACAGACCTGTTGTAGAAGAACTTGCACCAGCCTATGTTTTGTTTCTCCCTCCTTTGCTGGGCAAAGACACCGAAGGAAATAACAGCCACCTCTGCCCTTCAGAGATCAGCTGCCTGTAAACTTCTTGGCTATTCATTTAGAGTAAGATTGTAGAAAAGGATGTAGCGTAGATTAGTATTATGTCTTACATTTTAGATTTTGCCTAGTGCTTACTCTAGAAGTGACAGTACACATGGCATAAGCTAAATAAATGATTCAGACAGGTTACAAAGCTACTTGGATGGAGCCTTAATGGACCTGCTTTATGTACTGCTACAGTGGTCTGATACTGAGAGAGCCTACCACTGGTTCTTTAGGTGAAAGGTAATAGCTAGAAATCCCTTATACGTACATTTAAAAAAAATGCTCAGAGGAATTAGTCTAAGTAAGTGTTACCACAGAAACATAACTTCACATGGAACTTTTGATTTGCATGTGGAAAAGTTTCCTGTTTCAGTAACAGGCTTCTGCTGTTCAGATTTTTAACTCATTGCCCCTGAAACTCCTGTATCAGAACATGCCAGTACCTTTTTATGCTGCCTATTCTAAATCACTTTTTCTGAGTGTTTGAGAACACTAGAATGCAAAAAAAGCACTGGGATATAGTTATAGGAAATTGTACCTAAATAGGTAGAACTCAAAGTTAACTTGACACTATCTTTCAAATAATTTTAATGAAAGTTACTACCAATGTCTGCTGAATCCTTTATTAAAGGTATTGGGACTGTCTTAGCAATTATCCCAAGGTTTCTTTGAAATAAAATACACAGTGTAATCAAGTCTTGGAACCCTGTCAGAGTTCCTTCTCTTATCGAGTTAATGCTCTGTTATGAAAATCGTATTTTTTCCTTGCTTTGCTGTAGGACTAAAGGCATCACTCATGGCCCAACTCAGCTTCAGTGGTTCTTCCAAACTGCAGCTTTTGGGATAGCTTCCCTCTATAAGCTGCTAGAATATAAGCCACCATCTAAGAGACAGGAATAACAGACTGGACAAGAAGAATGTATGCTAACATACTTCATCCTCATACCTCAGAAAATGGATCCTCCTCTTAGCTATTTGGGTTGTGGACTATCAGAATGCATTCCCAGTGAGACTCAGTGCACTCTTACCACGCACCTCCTTGCACATCATTAAATGCTAAGTCTCAGGTGAAGGGCTCCTTGGATGGCCCAAGAAGTGAATAATTGAAACAGAACCTCTTTTGTGTAACTGCACAGTTCTTTCTAGGTGGAATCACTGGAGACCAAAACTAGTTTTCCTCTAGTCTATTTAGCATTATAAGCAGTGTAATAATAATAAAAAAAAGTACAAAAAAAGTTCATAGTAGATGCCCCTTCCCCTCCCACTGGGTGGTAGCAGTTACTAGCAGACCTTTCTACTTGTAAACGCTTTCCTTCCAAATCAGAGCACTTAACGCCAGTCAGCTTGTAGCAGTTCACTACTAGAGCTTCATTCTCTTTTCTTCAGTGTTGCACTTGTCTTTGGTTAGTGCTATCCATCAATCTGCTCTGACCAGTTTCTTTTTCTTCCATCTTCCACAAAGGTTAGAGACCATAAGGCTGCAGAAACACTAAGAAGCAAAAAAATTATACCATAGGATGAGGTGTGGCAATGAGGCAGAGTACATGACAAAACACTTCAGCATACTCAATTAAAGATTTTTAAGAATTCTGTTAAAAGGCGCTTGCCTTAAACCTTGCACACCATACATTTGCATTTTGTACTTGTTTATTCAGGTTATTGAATTCAGCAGCCAAGTATAATTTGAAGGGTGGGTACTGCTTTTTTCTGACAAAGTTAATTCACATATATAATAGTTTAGTACCCTTCTTAGATGGAGTTTCAAAGATATACATGAACGTTTTATGTGTCCCTGTAAGTGCAGTCATAACCTGAGTAAGTTTGCATGCATTAAACATCTAGTTGGAAGCAACAGTGGAAGCTTTCCAGAGACCATCTGAAGCTAATGTTCTCAAGAGAGTTTCCTAGATGCATTTGATATAATTCTGATCCATCTTTTTTGAACTATCCCTGAGAAACAAGAAGCTTGTCTGTGCCTTAAGTAGCTGCAGACAGCTGTTACTACTGTAAACAATTACATCTTAGCTTTGGTGCACTTCTTAGTATTTGTACTAAGTGAAAATGTCTTGTGTTTTCACGATTCTCCAGGGTTAAGATTATACTGTTTATAAATAGTAGATGTTAGTTGTCCACCTGTCAGCCACTACAAATTATCAGAATACAATACCAGATTATTAATTCGTGATGCCCATGTTGCTAGCTTTCTCTTTAGAGAAAACTAGCACCCCTTTTTCAAGTGTGTATTAGAAGACTGGAGAGAGGAGTTGCCATCCTGACCAGAGTTGCAGTAGGGGGTAACCCTATATTCTGTAGGCTGCAACTATGGACCAAGACTTGTAGATAGTACCACTATCTATAAACTATTAAAATGTGGAAGCCTCATACAGGCACTGGGTACAACTCTAATCCAACAGGATAGCTGGCTATATATAGGTGTAAAGTGGCTGCAAGTTACAGCTTATGAAAATCGTGCAGGTTACTGTTTATTGGCAAATAGTGTTTGTATTCTCCCCAGGGCTGGATGGCATGTGAGACGCAGCTGATAGGGAGTCCCAGAAAAAAGTCTAATTGGTTACGAGAGGAGCATGGTTGTAGAAGTGGCTGTTCTCTCACCTACTTCTCATAAGCAGCTTTTTGTGAACAGTGCATATATGGCCAGGATCCAACATACTCCACATCATTTTACTTAAAATCATGTAGTCAAACTTACTTACCAGGTATTGGGTTTGAGATGAGCTCACATTTGACTACATCTGCCAGTATACAGTAACCACTGATCTTGAATATGATCAACGTTTCTTGTTTTTCTCTTCTTGTTGCTCTGCTTATATTTTTGGGTGTTTTGGATTTTCTCTTTTACAAGCCTTTGGCAAATACTCACCTTTGTGATGAACAAATATACTGGAAAAAAACTTGCATATCTCCTATTCATATACAGGGTTTTGAACCATGTTTACAGTTTTATCTTAACTAACAATACATCACTATGTTTCTGGAAGTTGAAAACAAAAAAAAAAGGAAAGCAAATAATATACATGTAATCTTAAGTCTTAAAATACTGATGCAAGTATGGTGTTCTTGTGGGAAGAAAAAAAACATTAAAATATTTTGCAGAGAAGTTGTGTTTTGGTTTTATTCTTCACTATCACACTTCCTTTTTTTAAGGAAAAGCAAGGGGGTCTTCCTTAAGATCAAGCCTCACTGGGAAACCAGGAAAACACATGTTTACCCTTTTACAATCCATTATTTGCCTCTATTGGTCAGGTCTTCAGCTGAGATTAAATCAGCACAGTGATTCTCCTGAAGCCAGTTATGCTAGCTGAAGATCTGTCCCTTTTCTTTTAAGTTGCAGGTCACCCACATTTCATAAGACCCAGTGTTAGCTTCAGGAACTAAGCATGTATGCTTATCACCCATAGTAGCTGAGATACAAAAAGTAGACAAGGTTCTTTGGGTAAGTCTGATATATTTTATTAGACAAACTAAAATAGTTGAGAAAGTTCTTTGCAAGCTTTCGGGTTCAGGAAGATAAACTTGTCTGCCTATGTCCTTAGACCAATATGACTATAAGCAGCACCCTGATACAAAAGGTAGTACATTTATATACTGCAAAGACAGACAATCCTGATTAAAAGTAAGTTGAGATACTTCTTTTTAATGACAGCCTCAGCATGTGTTCAACATCTAATTTGGTTAACCTATCTTCATAGTTTCATAGTTTCTAGGGTCAGAAGGGACCTGAGTAGATCATCTAGTCCAACCCCCTGCCATGGCAGGAAAGAGTACTGGGGTCAAACAACCCCAGCAAGGTGTACATCTAGCCTCCTCTTAAAGACTCCCAGGGTATGAGCCACACCACTTTTCTTGGAAGTTGGTTCCAGACCCTAGCCGCCCTGACCATGAAGTAGCGCCTCCTGATATCTAGCCTAAACCTACCCTCTGCCAGCTTGTGACCGTTATTCCTGGTCACTCCTGGCAGTGCTCGGGGAAACAGGGACTTCCCCAGTGCCTGCTGGTCCCCTCTGACTAGTTTGTAACAGGCCACTAGATCCCCCCTCAGACTTCTCTTGTGGAGGCTAAACAGGTTCAGGTCCCATAGCCTCTCCTCGTAGGGCCTGCCCTGCTGCCCCCTATCATGCGAGTGGCCCTCTGGACCCTCTCCATGTTGTCCACATCCCTCCTGAAGTGCGGCGCCCAGAACTGGACACAGTACTCCAGCTGCGGCCTAACCAGTGTCGCATAGCGGGGGAGTATCACCTCCTTGGACTTGCTTGAGATGCATCTGTGGATGCATGACAAGGTACAGTTGGCCTTCCTGACTGCATCCCCACACTGCCGGCCCATGTTCATCTTGGAGTCGATGATGACTCCAAGATCCTTTTCCGCCTCTGTACTGACAATCTTGTTAGTATATTTATCCAGTCATAGGGCCAGAGGTAAGAACTATACCCAGAGCTGAATTCAGTATTCTCTTTAGTGTTTGTTAGTTACAGGAAGGCCAAAAAAATAGCAAGTCCCTTCATCATCCTTCTTCAAAGTACAAATAAAACGGCTGAATAGCTTTGAGGACCGAAGGAGGTACAGGACCATATTGTTTGCTCAAGACTGTTACCATTCCAAACACTAATAAAGACTGAGTTGGACAGACAGAGTTCTTGTGAATGTAACCAAGTTCTTCTGTAGGAGTCTGGCCAAGCCTTGATTCAAAGTTCTCACAAACCACAAGGCTCACTCAAAGAGAAAACAAAACATTTTTTAGGAGACACCAGCTAGTTTATTTTTAAAGTAAACAGAAAATACAATTCCTTCCTAAAGTCTCCTCAAGCTCCTTACTCAACCAAGTAGAACAACCAGTACTTACGTTTGGAGTAATCCTTCAAAGAACTGAGAAAAACAGTTTCTAACAACAATCCACTTCTAACTGGGACAGCCCAGTTTATAAGTGCTCTCCAAAACTCAGATGCAGCAGATTTGACTCTTCCTCCTGCAAAAAACTCCTCTGGGTCTTGGTTCCTCCCATCTTTCCTTGTTTCACTGGAAAAGTTGGGGTGTAGAGGTCCTATTACCCAGAGGCCTCTCTTTTGGGTCTTGAACAATTTCAGGACCTCTTTGCTACTTATTATGACTCCGTATGAAACTTTACCTTCTACAAGTCAGAGAGACTCTTTGTTACTCTCACAGATGTAGAGAAACACATGGCCTGTGGTTGTAATTTGAGGCAGGTATTTCTCAGCAGCCTGTAGCCAACTCATGAAATAGCACCATCTTACTTTTAGTGCACAATTCTCGGTCATTCTACAGCTGTAAACAGTTATTTTCAGTTTTCCAACTATCCCATAAAAATGTTTCAGTAACCAAGGTAAAAGAGGACAAATAGACCCACCCAGAATTAGCAAGGGAAATACAAACATCATTACTGTCCATAGTGGTGACCATAGAAAGAAAAGAAAAGCAGGTTCCTAAAGGTTCTAGGAAAAAGAACCTTTCTAGCCCACCACATATGAATATATATAAACTGGTCACAATGGTCAGGTAGGCCAAAGTTACTCCTTTCTATTTTAGATCTCAGAGCCCAGACTTGAAAGGAGAAATATAGTATCTACCAATGCAATGACAGTCCTGTGATTGGAAAGCCATCAATGACAGAATGACACCCCAAGACACAATCTTTTTAATAGCACCACTTGGCGCTTACCTCCATCGCAGCATCCACAACCATCCACCTGCCTACACCAAGTTGGTTAGCTATTGACTATGGCCAGTTCTTAGCTTCCTTCTTCAGGAGTTAGCACTGATGTCATGTGTGTATGCTGACACTTGGGGAGCTTTGTGTGGACCTCCAGAATAGTACCCTTTGTCATCCTGAAATTCTGCAGCCACTGCTAGTCATCCTGTTTGCCACACAATCCATTGGCCAATACTGTTTCATGCAGCACTGAAAAGCTACACTACACCAAGTGATGCTAATCCAAGAAAACTTCCTCTAGAAACAGCTGGTCCATGGCAGTCTCTTCCTTTTCATTGTCCTCCCAATACAACTACAGGTAGGCTAAATGTTGGCACTGCTATGGAAGCTGTTCTGTGGTACAGGAGATAATTTAAAGAAATGAAGTTATTTGATGGAGAGAGCTCAAAAAGCTGCTGTCTCTTTGAAATCAGCATCACAGGATTCATCCAGGCTACCCAGTAGGTATGTTGGAAATGGCATTGACTGGACAGAAAAGAGATGGATCTTGGGATGGCTGGAGGGGAGTTATGGGAGTTCACGAGCTTGATCTCAGAGCTCAGAATTGCACTTGCTTCCAGCTGGCTTCTGCTAAGTATCCCACAATGTGCTATGAGAAAGTTCCCACAGTACCTGGGATATAGCAGGAGAATAAAGAAAAAAGGCATACTTGCCCATACTGCTGAGCACTTGATGTGCAGGAAGTCCCTGCCATATGGAAGCAATACTTTGAAATGGAATAAAAACCAGCTGACTATGGATATGCAGCCTCTAAATTTCCCATATGCTATATGAAGCAATCAGTGTGTTCCAGTTGTGTGAGGAAATCACTCAGAAAGGCTGAAAACAGGGAGAGATAATTGTTTGAAGGTGGGTTTTTTTTGCGAGTGGAAAGAGGAGAGTGAATGAGTTTAGAGGTAGATGGATTAGTATGCATAAATTAGTTGACTGTCAGCAGATGGAGCTGGGAGAGGTAAAGGACAGATAAGGAAAGGAGTGGATCAGGTGTTTGAA